AAAAGGATTGAATTATTAAAATAAAATAATGAAATTTGAGTTGTCAATAGTATAGAGCCTGAACAGGCTTGGCTCAGTACTGATGACCAAGGGTAGTCACTTTTTATTCCAGCAGAACAAGGGTTAAGGTCATTGATAACATTTAATGTGGGGAAGTGTCATTTCAGCTGAAATGAATTAAAATACATTTTTTTCTGAATAATTGGCTTTGAATTTAAGGTATTTACATTTATAGTTTGTATAGAATGACATAAACACAGGATTATGGGAAATATCAAATTTGCTTGCTGTCATTATGCATGTCAGTTGTAAGGTTAGGCTTATTAGTTAATATGAATTTTTTAGTTTAATTGTGATGGAAAGTATATACTTATGAAAAAATACTTTTGAATCTGTTCCGGAACAAACCTGAGTACTAAGCAATTTTGTTTGTTGCTTAGAAATGGTTTCTCTATTGAGATTAGATTTATTACAAAGTCTTACCTAAGTATGAATTTAAAGTATTGTTGTTAAAAGGTTATTGTTCTACTGAGGGTAGCTCTGACAAGATTACTTATTAAATTTTCATTCTATAATCTTTTATTTTCAAATTTGTATAAAATTTTATATATACAAAATTGTTACAGGATGTTGGATCACCCGAAAAGTTTCACGTAGAATTACACTTTAGTCCGGGGGCGTATACAAGCAGTGACAAGAATGTTGTGAACCCAGCCGGCTCTGGTTATAGGACTTCATTCTTGGTGAGACAGGTGTGTGCGGTATATATAGTTAACATTATTTAAGCCGAGTCATGACAAAACCAACATAGGATCCATTTTGTTTGCTTACAAACCCTATTACAAGTAGAGAAACTGATAGCGAACAGTATGGATCCTGACCAGACTGCGCGGATGCACTATGTTGGCCTTGTCATGGCACGGCTCATTTAACAGAGTGACATCTTAAGACTGTTGTTACATTGTTTTCATGTTTGATTTATCATAGTTTAAAGTGTGTTTTTTTAGCTCACCTGAGCTTGCTCAGGGTGAGCTTTTAGGATCGTTGAATGTCCGTCGTCCATCCACACTTGTTAGTTAACACTCTAGCGGTCACATTTTTGGCTTGATCATCATCAAACTATGTCAGGATGCTTTTCTAGTTGATAGTTAAAAACTAGGTCACAGGAGCTAAAAATAAAAAAATCTTGTTAACACTCTAGCGGTCACATTTTTGCCTCAATCATCATGATATCAAACTTGGTCAGGATGCTTATCTAGTTGATAGCTTGGATGGGTCAGGTGAGCGATCTAGGGCCATCATGGCCCTCTTGTTTAAACAACTTATGCAGGAATTTAGTCGCTAACCATATGTGACACAAGAATTTTAGAATATTAACTTGTTTTAAGCAATAGTTTTATATTAACAGTTATGAAGTTCACAGTTAGGTGTTCAAGACCTCTATGTGGGTGTTTTGTTTGTGAGTGTGTGTACATTTTTGTGTGTGTTTGTTTATGTTTTAGTTTGTGTTTGTTAATTATGGTATTGTTTTGAAATATTTTTTTATTTTTCATAAGATATTAGCATCTTCTATCTACTTTTTAGTGGATTTATATAATCGTTATTTTATGATCCATGATGTTGTTTTTCAATAAATATGTTAGTTTGTTCTTTCGTCACACTTTAACTTTAATTTCTAATGGCATTATCACTTATTGACTGATAACTTGAATATTTGGTTTGATTGTACCACCAATGGACACATACCTTTGTATAGGATTTCAGGTCAGTTAAGAGTAGACTTATTCTAAACTACATAGTAAGGTCATGTATTTTCCTTTGCCAAAGCAACTCCTTGGAGCATAGATGTAACCAATATTCACTTTGCATCAAAAAAGTATGTGCTAAATGACACATCAGTAATAATGCATTTGTTAGATGGAAACAAAAATGTTTCTTGATAAAAATTTAGCAGCTGCTGACCTTATGGATAAATTACCATAAACATTATATATATATTGTTTTTTTTTTTCAATTTTAATACGTTTTGGGGGAATTTTTTTACAGTGAGATCTATAACTAAAAATTATTGAAATATTACATTTAAGAAACGTTATCTATCCAGCTATCCTATAGATAGTAGACAATACAAACTTATAACTGGCACCTTAAAGATTATCTCCACAATGAATGTCTGTTATCTGACCTTTACAATATCACTAAAAAATCAACCAATGACTAAGCATCATTATAGATGCTAAACTGACTTAAAAAATTTATCTTAATTTTGATTTTTTGATTTTTTTTTCAAAGGGTAAAAAGGCCCACGAGAGTGGAAAAATGAAAGATGGAGATGAGCAAGGGAAAGCTGAATTGATACAGGAAACAATAACTGAAGAGAGTTATACAGAAGAATCCATTGTCCTAGATAACATGGAGATAGAAAAACCTGGTGAAGAAAAAGCTATGGAGATTGATCAAGATGGTGTGGGAAGTAAGACATCTGAAGCAGGTCCTGAATCAGAGAAGAAGAAAGAAGACACCGTATTGAATGTGCCAAAGATAACCTTGCAAGTCAATAATAAAGATGTGGAATTCGGTTCAGCAAATGATGTTCCAGCTGTAATAGCTAAAGATATAAAGGAAATAGAACATGATGCTGTGAGAGAGATACAAGAATCCCCAGTTGAAGACTTAGTGATGAAGAAAGGTAGGAAAGAAAGTGATGGAGACCAGTTTGAAAGTGTTGGCTCCCAGTGTAACATTGAAGACATAAATAAAGTTGGTAACAAGATAGAATCAACTACTGATGAAAAGGTTAAAGATGACACTGTTAAAGTAGATAGTGGAAAGTCTGACACTGGCGTAAAGGCTAAAAAGAAATTTGATGTTTCAGCTGCAATACAAGAGGTAGAAGATAAAGACCTTCTGGTGTTAGAGAAACCACCTGTCAAGAAAGAGAGGAAAGAAAAGAAGGACATTGATGCTTCTAGTCATGATGAAGTGCTGTTTGATGATGAATTTGCAGAGAAGGTATCTGATGATGAACATTCAAAGACCATCACAAGTACTTCAGATCTTTTAAATGAGGTAAGCTTGCCTATACATTAGCAAATAAAGTAACTGTTGAGATAAATTCAGTCAAAAGAGAGAAAACAACATATGTTTTAAGACAGAAATTGACATATCTGTGGGTGTGTTGTTTTTTCACCAGTATTTGAGACTGTGTTTAAAAATTAAAGGTTCATTATGCCTCAGAAATGCTATCATTTTAATTTCTCAAAAACTTTATTTTTGGTATCATGTTACAGTTTCCAAAAACATACTCATTTGCTAGAAACACAAACTATCTTTTGCATCTTTGGTTCTGTTGGCAATTGCTATAATTAAAGTTAATTAGTATTTTGTATGGAACACATAATACTACATTATTTACATTTTGCTTTCTTTATGACATAATTGCAAATTCAGTGCCACTTTCTTCCACTGTTAAACATGTAACATACTCTAAATTTGTTATTAAAACATTATTGAAAATGTTTACCTTTTCTAAAGAATTTTATAAATATGGATTTCTTAGGCATAATGTGCCTTTTAGAGATTATCATCTGATTGTGGATTAATAAGTAATGTAATCGAGCTTAAATTAATATGTTTAAACCAAGTATTGTATACGTAAATGGCTTAATAAAGGAAATAGAAAATGTTATTTATATTATATGAACTTATTTCCTTGGAAAACAAATCATTTTATTACTCATATTGTATATGGAATATTAAGAGGATATTTTTTCGTTTGAGTGAAATATGGAATATATTTTCACGAAACATGATAAAATGCCTCATATTTCACGAGCCTGAATTTAGCGCTGCATTGTGACGTCACGTAAACAACTCTTTAAACGTCTGTACAGCGTTAATGACTGAATTAAAGATATTGGTGTTCGGATTTATTTTCTTAGTTAGACCATTTTCTATCATTCTAGAAAGTTATCGAATCAAAATTCAACAAAAAGTTGTTATTTATTTATCAGATTTTGTAAACAAAATGGCGAAAGAAGTCCTCTAAAATAAATATGAGTTTTGACTCCGCCCACTTTCATATTTATATTTCATATTTATTTTTAAAAAATATGAAATATATTTGACTGATATAGCACAATATTTCATGTGTAAAATTAAATAAATATATATATTACAGTCAGGGAAAGAAGTACCACAGCCTAAGTCACCTGACCCTGACATACCAGAATGGGATTGGGGATGATACGCGTCAAAATCAGAAAAGGATTTCTATAGTTATTTGTTAATTTTATATTATATGATCGAAAGTTTCAAACAACATATGCAATGTTCATATGAATGAAATGATAATATGCTTCAAGTTGTTAAAGCTTCATATCTGATAAGAAATAAAATATAATAGCTTGTATGGAAGAAATACAAATGTATGTTGCATTGCTCATTGTTAAAACCCAAATTAAGAATAGCAGCATTAAAATTTTTAATTCTAGAACATTTTAATTCTTTAATAAACATTTAAGAAGTAACTTAAAAGGGATTGTTTTGTAAAGTGGTCTGATGATCATGTTATTCCACAGTCCTAACAGTTGGTTAGAAAAAATAGGCATTGAACCTGTAGGTCATAACAACAAAGTTACATGACTTAACTGGTGGCCTGTACGGGGGAGGTTGCGTGGTGACAAACATGTTTAAGAAATTACTCTAGGTATGTTTAATAAATTTAGATGTTAATTAAATACTTTTGATGTTAAAATCATTCTGTATAATATTGTTTGTATAATAGATGGTGGGATCATCAAGTAGCACCCTGAAATCAGCAAAGAGCGAGTCGTCGGAGGATGTAATTGCTAAACCTAAGGAGCGAACTAGGAGTGAAAATTCTGTGTCCGATCCTATCCAGATTAATGCTCCCGTGACTAGTAAGCCAAGAGAAAGAACTGGTAGTAAGTGTACCATTAAATAATTAATCTTGTGTAGTCAAGCACTCATTTCATGTACTTGTACATAGATTGTCTAAATACAAATGAAAAAATTTGTTAAGTGTCTAAATACAAATATGAAATTTCTTTTGTTATGAAATCCTTTCTGTTGTATAATGGGATATGTCTCTAGTCATGTGGGTTTAACTCAGTGAAGACTTGTCTCGTTGATAGGATTTGATAGAATGCTTTGTATATTCAATGGTGTTACGGTGATAACTGGTCATCGACCATTCAGATAATAGTACACTTTTTATGGTCATTTGCACTGTACTTCTGCTCTGGCATGTATAGAAATTATCAGTTCCTTGTGAAAATGAAGGCAACTAGTTTTGGTAAACTGCTTGACAGCCTGCCCAGGAATGATGCAGTGGCTGAACCATGAGCATGCTCTGGTGGCTTACTGCTGTGATCATAGTGAAATGTTAACTACCAACACCATCACCCCGTGAATCATGGGTTCGAGCCCTAATTAGGTCACGACCATGTTTTTTTCATGTGACACCATGGTTCCAGGAAGTGGACTTGACAGTGATTAATATAATTTGCAAGAACTTGTTTTGCAATTGAGATTATATGTTTAAACCTACACCATCACCACCATGACAAATTTTGATTTCTTGAAAATGCCATATAAAAGTCACTAATACAAGTGAATCTATTGGTTAAATACATTGAATAATAAGTGATGAAGAAAGCAAAATATCACTACATAAGATAAGCCTTATCTCACATGTATATTGTATGTCGCAGGTTTTGAGAGCACAAAAAGTTACGATGAGAAGAGAAGCCGAAGTCTTGAGGATAACGAAAATAAGGAGGCGTGTTTAGGTAATAATTTCATTCTTATTTTCATACGCTATTTAGATGGCTTTTGCTTTGGCTTTAAGAGCCAGTTTTATGAAATATGTTGATACTGCATAATAAGTGAATTTTTTTTTTCATTTAAAACAAAGTTTTATATGTCAGTATGTTCTATGTGCATACATGTACCTAACTAATAGATTCTTAAGTTGCTATGGGAACAGTAGTTAACAATGAAAGTATTTTTGATGTTTCTTTTGCGTGGATGGAAATTCTTCTCCCACTAATGGCAAAATGAACAATAAGATAACTACATTACCCTTTATTCTGAAGGTTCCTATCTCCAATAGAGACAAAACCATTCACCATTTTCAGTGAAAATTTCAAAATAAACGTTGACAGAATAGCAAACAGTGCAGACTATTATCAGACAGTAAAGATGTGTCGGCTGATCTTGATCTGTACTGGTTGTACGGCAGTGGTCACATCACATGGGTAGATTCAGTTACTGCCCAGTATTCATTAGTTAAGATATCCATGACAACAAAAATCACAATAAATGTGTAAATAGATTATATACTTATACTTTTTTTACATATTCTGTTTTCAGTGCTGTTGCAAGGTTTTTATGTATAATTTATCAATTTTTGCGTAATCACGATTTAACAGATCAATATGTATTTTACTTTGGATATAGATTCTCTGGATCTCGGCAAATGTGGATTTTTTCAAATGTAATCTCGAGGTACAAAGAAACTTTTACAGCTACAATTTTAGGAATATATTTAAAATCAGTACAACACTTTTATCACGTTGTGGTGAATGGTTAAGTGCAACATGAAGCTTTATTGGTAAAAGTTGTACCCCTGGATTAGACGAGAGAAAACACCACATTTGCCGAGTTCCCGATAACATCTATTGTAACTAAAACTTTACACTTCTCCCCTAACACTGCTGTGTTACTGTGGTCACAGATTTATTTACTTGTCTTCTCATCCAAAACCACCTATAGTAATGTAATATAACTTGTCCGCCAGAAACTTAGAAAAAAATTTAAAGTGGTATTATGCCCATCTAAGTGTAAATGTTCAGTATATAGGTTAAAGTCAAAATAACTTTACATTTTGGTATAACTGTATTCAATTTTATATTTTACAATGCAAGCAAATCAGTATTTCTGCGTGGCCCATGGTAATTTTTACAAAAGTCGTTTGGAACGTATAATTTTTATAAAGAGAAGGGAAGTCTTTTAATAAGTTAAGTAGTTTTCATGTGTTTAGAAAATTTTAATTGTTAATTATTGGTCAATCACTATAATAATGGTGGATCTCTTGAAATATATTACTAATTCAACTCAGCTTCAAAGCAAAAAAAAGAGCATTTTGTCACTTTAACAATATTAATCCATATAAATTGAAAAATCCTCTAATATAAAGCATATGACATTATCATCTAAGTTAAGTTCTTTTGTCAACAGTTGTACTTTTTCATCCTCCTTTGGACAAATCTAGAATGATTTTATTGCCTAGAAATTTATACATGTATTTATTTCCAAAATGTATCAAAATTTACAGTTTAGTTGTTTTGGTGACTCAAGAATACCCAGTTTTACATAAATTTTCTACTTAAAGTTCACCTTACCATGCATGCAACTTTCTGCTGGATAATGAGTTTAAATGTGTTTTAGAAGCAAATTTGTATTTAAAGACACAATCCTCTATATGGCCACATTCTCTTTGTTATTTAGCTGTGCAACTTTTTTGCACAAAATTACATGACAAAAAAGACCACCAAATTTTTTGTTAGATGCATAGATGTGCAGCCAAATCAAAATCAGAGCTCTTACCCTCTCAGCCATGATGACCTCTTGGGACCAATTACAAATAAAATTACATTACCGCCTCCGTGGTCGAGGGGTTAGAGTCGATGAGTTACCTCTCTGGCGTGGGTTCGATCCCCGGGAGATGCTTTGGTAGTTTAGCGCGGAGGAAGGTAGTCTAGTACTGGTGTAACTCTCCAGGAACGATGGTTAGGAAACTACCTGCCTATATGACTGAAATACTGTTGGAAAAAGGCATAAAATGAAACAAATCAACAAACACACAAATAAAATTAGGTAGTTTTGAAATGATTCACTGGTAATCACAGTTTTACTTGAAACTATTTGAGCCACGCCATGACAAAACCAACATAATGGGTTTGCGACCAGCATGGATCCAGTCTAGCCTGCGCATCCGCGCAGTCTAATCAGGATCCATGCTGTTCGCTATCAGTTTCTCTACTTGTAATAGAGTCTGTAAGTGAACAGCATGGATCCTGATCAGACTGCGCAGATGCACAGGCTGGTCTGGATCCATGCTGGTCGCAAACCCATTATGTTGGTTTTGTCGTGACGCGGCTCATTTGTCAATTTCCTGATGTTGTATAGCATTCTAACATCGTCAGGTACCCACAGTTGATTAACATGATAAATGTTAATGGTTCTGCTGTGGGTATCCTACAATGAGGATACTGTAACTATAGTTCAACTTTGAAGTCTGTTATGTCACAACCTGTTTGCATTTTTGTTTTAACATTAGAAGAAACAGTTATATAACCAGCAAAATTTTATTTTTAGGTGACATTATGCCCTTTTGTTTCACTGTCAAGTTGAGTTGAATTGGTAATATATTTTAAAAGATTGACTATTAAAATGATGATAGATGAACAATTGATAAAGAAAAATGTTTATGATACAATACATAGTCTAAATTATAAAAAGACTACCCCCACTCTTTATAAGAATTTCACATTTCGGATACATTTTAAAGGATATTTATAGACATTTCCATCAGTCATCTGGATTACTGATTATTTTTTCATAGTAAAATCTAAAATTGAACACAATTAAGACTAAATGTCAAGTTACTCGTATTTTAATTTTTACCTGTTCACCGACCACTTGCCAATGGGTCATGATGGGCATAATGTCACTGTAAGGGAACTTTGTAAGTGAAACGGTAAGGAAATTTTATGAGTAAATAGGTAATTAAATCTTAAAAGTTTTTAAGCTAATGAGATCTTATAAGTAATATGATAGTACAGCTTAAGTAAAATGGTATGGAATTTTTTTTTGGAGTAAAATAGTGGTGAAACAAAATTTTCAGGCGGCAACCGGAACTACAGGAAGGTGCAATCGTTACCATTCCGGAACTCATTGACTGACGTGTACTCGATGGGTCAATGGGACTTTCCAGAAAAATTAAGTTTGTATTTCACATATGTTAGAAAACTCGATCACAGTTATAGGACGTCTGTCTAGCACCCTTGTTTTTATGTTTTTAAACCTGAAAATGCCCCCGCCATGTTCATTTGCGGAAAGGCATACATGTTTTATTTGTTGTAATGTACATATATATTTATATGTATACATGTATTTGTTTAGTATATGCACGAGCGTGTGTTTAGTATATTTTTACCTAATTTTATCAATTTCTTGACATTTGTTGTAAATTTAAGATTTGATAAATCATTGCATTGATTTATAAACCTTTAAAGTGACATTATGCCCATCCAGGTATAAATCTGGTCCATTCAAAGGTATATGGTAGGTGCACAGGTCAATGTCAAAAAAGTTTAAGATTTTACCATAATTATGTCTAGTCCATGTGGAAAATCAGTAATCCAGGTGACACACAGATATAATTCTATAAATATGCCTCAGAACGAATCTCTAGCCTTCATTTGATGAAAGAAAAGTTGGGCACATTTCATATTTTAGGCAATTTCTATATTTTATCCTAAATTTTTTCATTATCAGTTATTGGTTGATGACCATTATAATATTCAATGTTTTTAAATAGACAACTATAAATTCAGCTAAACTCATCCACAAATAAATGAGCATAATGTCTCTGTATCCAGCTAGCTGAGACTTAAGGTAACCACTATAGAACCAGGTCAGTGAGCACATCCCTGCTGGCTGACCAGCCTCTATATAACTGGTGGTAGCTCAACTTTAACATTTTGATATTTGAAATCCCCTAAACATTAAATGGACCATTCCAAAGTCAAAGCAGGTCAAATCCATTACAGAAACAGAAGGCTATGCATTAATTCATATAATTCTGCTTGATGTATATTGTATGTATGATATTTAGAGGAGTTTTCCCCCTTCAGGTAGAGAGGATAAACAGTCTCTTTTTGCTTCCTTGATTATAATGTTAGATTCACACTAAACATCCAGCTTTGATCTGTTATATCTTAATCTTGATACATGGTTTGATATGCCCAAATTTAACATAGCGGGGGCATTCATTTTTGTTCTGCATATTTATATTAACCCTAGATTTTGCATATTCAGTTATAAATACTAGCATTTTTGTACGCTTATAAAAAGCTGCTATTTCAAGGTACTCTTTTTTTTTCCATAAATTTGATTTAAATAGATGTTTTTTAAGTTCAAGTGAGCTGTTAACATAGGTCAATGATCCTGAGTGTCCTGAGTGATCTTTGGTTAAAATCTGGGTCACAATATCAATTCAAAGTAAATTTCAAATTATTTCAAAAATAGGTTTCTTTTGTTTTAAGAAGAAGGCCATTAAAACAGTAAATCAAATTTGGGATGCCGTTTCAGGTTACGACTTGATATTACTAAATTGAATTTGGTAATATTTACTTCATTTACTTCATTGATATGTAGGTTAAATTCACGTATTGTTTGAACCTGTCAATTCCAAACTGATTATACGGTCAATGCACAGAATATATTAATATTCGATAAATGTTCGGTAAATTCCGTGAAAGGTACGCAGTAAGATGTGATTAAATTCATCTAGTTTCTATGTATAAGTTACACTGACAGTTATAGCGCAATAGGGTAAACCACGGGTATATTTTATATGAATGTTCAACGTGTTGTAAGATCAAGACAAAATATGTCCAGTTTTTTTCTTATTCATATTAATTAATTTTTTCAACATTTTTGAAGTTTATATGGTTGTTCTGTTTTTAATATGTTTTGCAAATTTTTGTTAATACTTTTGTATGTTACATTGTTTAAGAATTGATACTGAAAATTCATTTTGATTTAAATCAATAAATGAAATTTCAGTGCCGTAAAATACAATACAAAATGTGACAATTCAGTCTTTCTTAGTTGTTTCATATCCGTGTAGAAAGTTTTGCAAGCACTTGACCATTTTCATTAAAATGTACTTAAAAATAAAGACAGAATAAGTATTAAAAGAATACCAAAGGAAGAGATCGAACCTCGGACCTCTCATGCATCTGGCGATCACTTAACCGACTGCCCTATTGAGGATGTTATGAAAACCTTCATTAAGGTAGTGGCAGTTTTCCAAATGTTAGTTATATACTCCATATTAATTCTTCTCGTAAAATAAACGGACAAACCTGAAGTGGGATCGAATATTTAAATGAGTGCTATAATGTATTCATGATTGACAGGTCAATAAAATCAGACTATACAAGTTTTCATGCTTATGGCACACAGCATTTTATGAATTTGTGTCTCATTTATAGTTTTGACAAAATTAATTTTTAGTAACCTTGGGTAACAACAAAGTCACATGATCACAGTCATGCAAGTGCATGCAATCCTTATAAAAGTCACTGTTCTGATTAGATTTTCAAAAAAAAATTGTTTAAATCCAGAGAAGTTAGTCACCCAAAAGTATAGACCCTGGTGACACTGCATGGATGTGCAGGCTTAATTGCCTGGCTTTTCAATACTAGAGGGCAAGGGCTAATCACTTTGGCTCCAGTAGGGTAAATTAAATAAGAGTTAAAATCCTATAAATTATACATATATATGGACACTAAAAAAATGAATTGCTTCTTATATTTATTTTATTTCTCATTATTAGTCACTATGTAGTTTAAATTATCATTTTGCCATGCAAAAAGTCATGGTCTTCTAATTGAAATAAGTAAAGTATTTCTTTATAATGTAAATTACATTTATTAAAGGGCAATTTAACTCCATCATATATGATGTGAGGTCAAAAATACCAGACTATCAATTGTGTACAGTGTTTGCCTATTATTTCATATAAACAATGTATCCATATATTTCTTTACTATACTAGAACTAAATAGAAATGTTGAAACTTATTAAATCTTGCACATCACTTTGGCTTCCATGTTTTCAATTCATACACTTTTGTATATCCTTTTAGTTCTTGATTTGCTGTTAAAAGAAAAACAGAGAAGACACTATTTTTATGCCCCCGCCATGTAATGGCCGGGGCATATAGTGTTACCCTGTTCCGTCCTTCCGTCATTCTGTCATTCCGTCATCATCAGTTTCCGTTCATTATCTTAGTAACGGTTGCACATATTCAACTCAAATTTGACATATGGATATGTCATGAGAAAATACAGGTCAAGTTCGAATTTGGTCATGGTTCGATGATTTTTGGCAGAGTTATGCCCCTTTTACTTTGAAAATAATATGAAATTTTCAGTTTCTGTTCATTATCTCCCCAACAGTACAACACATTCAACTCAAATTTGACATATGGATATGTCATGAGAAAATACAGGTCAAGTTCGAATTTGCTCATGGTTTGATGATTTTGGCAGAGTTATGCCCCTTTTACTTTGAAAATAATATGAAATTTTCAGTTTCCATTCATTATCTCCCCAACGGTACAACACATTCAACTCAAATTTGACATATGGATATGTCATGAGAAAATACATGTCAAGTTTGAATTTGCTCATGGTTTAACGATTTTTGGCAGAGTTATGCCCCTTTTACTTTGAAAATAATATGAAATTTTCAGTTTCCGTTCATTATCTCCCCAACGGTACAACACATTCAACTCAAATTTGACATATGGATATGTCATGAGAAAATACAGGTCAAGTTCGAAATTGGTCATGGTTCAACGATTTTTGGCAGAGTTATGCCCCTTTTTCTTTGAAAATAATATGAAATTTTCAGTTTCCATTCATTATCTCCCCAACGGTACAACACATTCAACTCATATTTGACATATGGATATGTCATGAGAAAATACATGTCAAGTTTGAATTTGCTCATGGTTTGATGATTTTTGGCAGAGTTATGCCCCTTTTACTTTGAAAATAATATGAAATTTTCAGTTTCTGTTTATTATCTCCCCAACGGTACAACACATTCAACTCAAATTTGACATATGGATATGTCATGAGAAAATACAGGTCAAGTTTGAATTTGGTCATGGTTCAACAATTTTTGGCAGAGTTATGCCCCTTTTACTTTGAAAATAATATGAAATTTTCAGTTTCCGTTCATTATCTCCCCAACGGTACAACACATTCAACTCAAATTTGACATATGGATATGTCATGAGAAAATACATGTCAAGTTTGAATTTGGTCATGGTTCGATGATTTTTGGCAGAGTTGTGCTCCTTTTACTTTGAAAATAATATGAAATTTTCAGTTTCTGTTTATTATCTCCCCAACAGTACAACACATTCAACTCAAATTTGAAATATGGATATTTTTTTGGAATGCCAAGGTCAAGTTCGAATTTGGTCATGGTTCAATAATTTTTGGCAGAGTAATGCCATTTTCACTTTAAAAAAAATATGAAATTTACAGTTTCTGTTCATTATCTACCCAACAGTGTTACATATTCAACTCAAATTTGACATATGGATATGTCAAAGGAATAGGCAGGTCAAGTTCGGATTTGGTCATGGTTCGATGATTTTTTGGCAGAGTTATGTCCCATTCACTTTGAAAGTAATATAGATACATCTTAGGAATAGGCAGTTTAAGTTTGAATTTGGTCGTGGTTCAATGATTTTGGACAAACTTATCTTTCTTGAATATTGGAAAAAATTTTGAACTTTCAGTTTCAGCACTCATACTTTTGTGGAAATGTATGTAGTCATTATTTTGGCTACAAATATGAAATATACTATTTTCAAAAGGATAAGACTGAATAATTTCAGTGCCTTGAACATTGTATGAAAATGGTTTGTGTTAACATTGAAAAGTTTTAAGGGCTTTGAACTTAAAATGAAAAAAATAATTTGTGCAAACAAATTTGGAACTAAATATAATAACATCTGAAATTTTGGCTGCATGCGGGGGCATCCGTGGCATGATGACACATTTCTAGTTTTTGTTGAATTATAAAGTTCTTTTTGACTATTTTATATGCCTGTAATAGAATAATATTTGCTTCAAGTTTTATTGATTAAAAACTTTAAAAAATTGCTCACAAAACATGCAATTTTAATGGCTT